CACACACACTCACCTGAGCAGAGCCTCACACACACACACACACACACTCACCTGAGCAGAGCCTCACACACACACACTCACCTGAGCAGAGCCTCACACACACACACACACACCTGAGCAGAGCCTCACACACACACACACACACTCACCTGAGCAGAGCCTCACACACACACACTCACCTGAGCAGAGCCTCACACACACACACACACACCTGAGCAAAGCCCCACACACACACACACTCACCTGAGCAGAGCCTCACACACACACACACTCACCTGAGCAGAGCCTCACACACACACACACTGAGCAAAGCCTCACACACACACACACACACACACACACCTGAGCAGAGCCTCACACACACACACACACCTGAGCAGAGCCTCACACACACACACTCACCTGAGCAGAGCCTCACACACACACACACACCTGAGCAGAGCCTCACACCCACACACACACACACACACCTGAGCAAAGCCTCACACACACACACACACACACACACACACCTGAGCAGAGCCTCACACACACACACACTCATCTGAGCAGAGCCTCACACACACACACACACCTGAGCAGAGCCTCACACACACACACACACACACACCTGAGCAGAGCCTCACACACACACACACACACCTGAGCAGAGCCTCACACACACACACACACACACACACACACACCTGAGCAGAGCCTCACACACACACACACACACACACACACACACACCTGAGCAGAGCCTCACACACACATAGACACACACCGCTCAAACGAACCTGGAGCCAAACAGGAAAAAGCAGATACACTTCCATCATTATCAATATAAACCTTTTCATTATCACTGATGCAAAAAGAGCATAAATAAATACATCAATAAATACAGACTTGTGTTAAAATCGCTGAAAAAATATGCACACAGTTGTGAGATTATATATTATTCATAGATAGCTTTTTTTTAGTTTTATTGATTTGAGAAATATTCTGTTATGAATATTCTTCTGTGGCAGAGTCTATTTTTCAGATGTTTTTTATAACTGTACTTCACTCAGCCATTTATACAGGGTGTCTGTGAGGGAGAGAATGTTTAGGATAGTGACTATTTTGAAGTTCAGGTGACTGCTGGCCCTGATGAGACAAGGTTACTCTGCACTGTTTGGCTCTTGTGAGACAGGGTTGATCTCCGGGGTTTGGTCCTTGTTAGACAGGGTTGATCTCCGGGGTTGGCCCTTGTGAGACAGGGTTGATCTCCGGGGTTTGGCCCTTGTGAGACAGGGTTGATCACCGGGGTTTGGCTCTTGTGAGACAGGGTTGATCTCCGGGGTTTGGCCCTTGTGAGACAGGGTTGATCTCCGGGGTTTGGCCCTTGTGAGACAGGGTTGATCTCCGGGGTTTGGCCCTTGTTAGACAGGGTTGATCTCCGGGGTTTGGCCCTTGTGAGACAGGGTTGATCTCCGGGGTTTGGCCCTTGTTAGACAGGGTTGATCTCCGGGGTTTGGCCCTTGTGAGACAGGGTGATCTCCGGGGTTTGGCCCTTGTTAGACAGGGTTGATCTCCGGGGTTTGGCCCTTGTGAGATAGGGTTGATCTCCGGGGTTTGGCCCTTGTTAGACAGGGTTGATCTCCGGGGTTTGGCCCTTGTGAGACAGGGTTGATCTCCGGGGTTTGGCCCTTGTGAGACAGGGTTGATCTCCGGGGTTTGGCCCTTGTTAGACAGGGTTGATCTCCGGGGTTTGGCCCTTGTGAGACAGGGTTGATCTCCGGGGTTTGGCCCTTGTGAGACAGGGTTGATCTCCGGGGTTTGGCCCTTGTTAGACAGGGTTGATCTCCGGGGTTTGGCCCTTGTGAGACAGGGTTGATCTCCGGGGTTTGGCTCTTGCTCACCTTTTCCCTCAGCTGTATGCTAAGGTTTGCTCTGGGCTAAAGGAGGGAAAATGCTGGATGGGATTGATGGGAAGGTGTTGAAAGCGCAGTGGAAGGCTGTTACGCTCTCTCGGTGATGAGGTTAGGAACGTCTGAGCGGCTCGCAGTGGAAAATGTGAAGGAGCTTACGCAGTTTCTGAACCCTTCACAGTGTGAAGCCCTAACTTCTACAGACCCACACACACACACACATACACACACACATATGCACACACACTCTCGTTGTGAAGCCCTTACTACTCCTACAGACCCTAAAATACTCACTCACATACACACTCACACACACATTCACAAACATGCACACCCACACTTACAGTCACAGTCCACACACACTTACTCCTACCGCCGAACACACACCCTGAGCCCATATCGTTTCTGCTGCTGAACACACTCTCAGGGCCTTGGCTCTCTGTGTGTAATACACGGCTCTGTCCCTCCCGGTACCCAGCTTGACCCTTGTGTCTGTTAATGTCAAAATTTATAATCCAGTTAATCTAATTAGGTCTGAGAATTACTGCGCCATCCCACATGGGCTGTCAAACAAGAGCGTTTCTCATTGGCCGAGCAAGCGCTGAGGGACACCACTCAGCCAGTTAGAGAGTCCTTCAGAAAAAGGCATCTTTATGAAGCATTGCATTATGGGTATGCATGAAAATCATGTTTCTTTGTCTCTCTGTTTTTCCTGGTCTCCTCCTCTTGCCCTCCCCAGTATTATGTACGGTATATATAGGAGTCATTCTGCCAAATACAGCCCCCCCCCACCCTGCACAACCCCCACAACAACAACAGATGGCTACGTTAAAAATAAACAAGAGGTTTTTTCTTTTCTTTTCAGTTCAGTGCGAGCAAAGAACCCCACCTCCTCTGTGAGGCAAGGAAGAACGTGTGATTGACATGAGGACGAAGGCATTGTTGCTGAAGAACTCCCGCCAAGCCTGTGGAGGGTTTATTTTTGTAAAATGCTGGCAGAACAGCCAATGATCAGATCCCCCCATCCCCCAGCCCCCCCCCCCCATAAACTTAGCCTTAGCTTCCATTGGGCAAAAAGGGTCAAACTCAGATTTCTCCGCCTGGCAGGGGTAGATGCTGCTAGCAGGACTGTCTGAAGTTTCTCACTGAGATCATCTTAAAGCTGTGGGACGGCCTCTATGCTCGTCCGGTCTGAACTCCCAAACTTACCGCTCTGCCGCCAGTGTCACAGAGACATCCAGACATGGCCAGGCATGATACCCACAGGAGTCTAAAAATAATGTATCATCTCTGAAGTTTCACATTTGCCAGATTATGGTGCATATCAACAAAACTCCAAATATGCTGTGGGAATGATCCATATTTTGTATCATTTGAAGTGAAGGTAGCCCTGGATAAGCTCTCTCTTCACTCAGAGGTCTCCCTCTTTACTGCATCAATGGAGTCCAACACCACAAATCACATTTTAGAGGTCTGAGTGTGCAGCTGTCAGAACGGCAGATTACCTTGATCTTATTTCCGCCATGTTTATCTCAATACTCAGAAGCACAGCTATATTTCACTCCAGCATACTGCGATGTAGCCTCAGTGATGTAGCTGTGACAGTAACATTCCAAACTACCACAGTATTAACTTTTCCCTGACATGGACAGATATCAAGCAATTATGCATTTCCAAATGAAATATGCACTGGTTATTCAACATAATAATAATACACATCTCTGTATGGATAAAACAATGTAAATACAAAAATACTGCCCAGTCTCTGTATTTTGAACCTCAGAGATGCATAACTGTAGTGATCTGCAGACTTTGGCCTCATTTGCAAGACGATTTCGCCCTGGCCTTCAAATATATCAAACACCGGTGGAGAGTTTCAGGGGAAAAATTAACATTAGTTTGAGTCATTAGATTCTGCATCTAAAACCACCCATGTGGGGACAGGGAGAATGTTCACTTCTACTCAGAGAGCATCCCAGAGTTTGTGAGGTGAAGAGGAGCTGTTAGCGGCTCCCTCTCAGGTGTGCATCCAACTGTGCCATCAGAGATTAAGCAGAGATGCAAACACACACAGCTTATGAAACCACCCATACCTTCTTGTTTTTATTTATTCACATGTACTGAATAATTTATGTGTGCTTTTTTACCTGTGTTAGTCATCCCTGTGGATGGATGTTTGCACCTCGGGAAGCGTATTTGTGTGATGGGTGGGAAGGGTTTACGAATGAGGCAGGATTCTGTCAGAGTTTATGAGCCAAAGTGTTTCTGAGATCCACCTTACTGAAGCTAATGTGAGCAACCCAACGCCATCTCCAGCCAACCTCCTGCATGCCATACCACATAAACAATACCATATACTGTAGATATATAGAATATCTTTCATATATACATTTTATAGGATATCGTTTTTCATTTAAATGTATTATTAGCCGATGTATTGACTATACATGGCTGAATTTTGAACTGCCTGATTCCTCCAGAGAGATGGCTCCAGCCTTCTGTCCATGGACTGCTGCCTAAAAACAAGCAGCGGAGGGCTTGTCAAATCCTGATAACAATCCCTAAGTGATCAGTCAGCCTACCGAGAGCAGGGCATTGTGGGAGGTTCCTCGCACCGCCCCCCCTGCCCCCGTGGACCGCTCCATACTGGGGGGGCCCACTGGCCATGCTGTCATGATCAACTCTCTGTGGATGGAGAGGAGGCGGGGAGAGGGGGGAGGGGGGGCAGCCAGGGGGCAGGAGAGCAGACCAACCAACCGCGACGCAGCGAGACACAAGATCTCACATTGCGTTTCCCAGCAGCCCCTCTGTCTCTGTCTGCTGCCCCGGCGGCGCCCCCCCCCCGCCACCATGGCAGAAAGATGCTATTTCTGCACCTCCCCCCCCCCCAAACATGGTCCGGTCTGCTGCTCCTGCACCCCCGATGGCACGTCTTGTGAGTAGAAACCAAATCCAGCCTGCCAGATCTGGTCCTGGCAGCACAGAGGACAGGAGGGTATAACTGCAGGACCCCCCAGAATCCCCCATCCCTTTTTTGGACAGGACAGGCTGTGACAGGACCCGGGAGGTCTACAGGCAGCTGGGGGGTGGGGGGGCTCACTCTAAAGCTGCAGTGTAGTATGATGGTTAGTGAGCTGGGCTTATAACTGAGAGGTTGTAGGTTCAAGTCCCATGACTGGAGTAAGGTATTTTACTGGCCTGAATTATCTCTGTAAAACATTCAGGTGTAAAGTAGCTGGTGGCAACATAAGCATCTTATTGATTATAAACAGTATTAAGCGTCAGATTTCTTAAAATGTTAACATTTTTTCGCATGCAAATTCAGTGACATGTCTTATGATTGCAGCAAATGAACTAAAACAACCAATTGCATGTTCTCCCGCTCTCTCTGCACCAGAGGTCAGAGATTGAGACACTGCAATAAATTATTATTAATTATAATATCTTGACACGACACACCAAATACACCTCATATTTTTTAATAATGATTAATTATTATTTTATCATTATTAGTAGTAGTAGTAGTCTATGAGGTGTATGAGGTGTGTAAAGTGTATGAGGTGTATTTGGTGCATGAGGTGTGTAAAGTGTATGAGGTGTATTTGGTGTATGAGGTGTGTAAAGTGTATGAGGTGTATTTGCTGTAGTTGGTGAGGTGTGTAAAGTGTATGAGGTGTATTTGGTGTATGAGGTGTGTAAAGTGTATGAGGTGTATTTGGTGTATGAGGTGTGTAAAGTGTGTGAGGTGTATTTGGTGCATGAGGTGTGTAAAGTGTATGAGGTGTATTTGGTGTAAAAGGTGTGTAAAGTGTATGAGGTGTATTTGCTGTATGAGGTGTGTAAAGTGTATGAGGTGTATTTGGTGTAAAAGGTGTGTAAAGTGTATGAGGTGTATTTGGTGTATGAGGTGTGTGAAGTGTATGAGGTGTATTTGCTGTAGTTGGTGTGGTGTATTTGGTGCATGAGGTGTGTAAAGTGTATGAGGTGTATTTGGTGTAAAAGGTGTGTAAAGTGTATGAGGTGTATTTGCTGTATGAGGTGTGTAAAGTGTATGAGGTGTATTTGGTGTAAAAGGTGTGTAAAGTGTATGAGGTGTATTTGGTGTAAAAGGTGTGTAAAGTGTATGAGGTGTATTTGGTGTAAAAGGTGTGTAAAGTGTATGAGGTGTATTTGGTGTAAAAGGTGTGTAAAGTGTATGAGGTGTATTTGGTGTAAAAGGTGTGTAAAGTGTATGAGGTTTATTTGGTGTATGAGGTGTGTAAAGTGTATGAGGTGTATTTGGTGTATGAGGTGTGTAAAGTGTATGAGGTGTATTTGGTGTAAAAGGTGTGTAAAGTGCATGAGGTGTATTTGCTGTAGTTGGTGAGGTGTGTAAAGTGTATGAGGTGTATTTGGTGTATGAGGTGTGTAAAATGTATGAGGTGTATTTGGTGGATACAGTACTATGTTTCACAAGGCTGAGCATCTGCCATTAACCGTCGCGTTCCCGTCTCTTTTACGAGGAGCGAGGGGCCCATCCCAGCTAACCACGGCATTAGCTGGGAAAACAGCTGGTCCGTAAGAATGAAAGACACAAACACAGATCAAGAGAAATATGAGGGCCAAAAATAGACGTGAGGAAGAGAAAAAAAGAATACGACACTTTTACAGACTGCTCACTTCAAACAAAAACCTGCTTCCAATCGGCTTGGGGGAGCGAGGCCCTGGTGAAAGCCGATCTCCAGCTCTGTCCTAGCATGGATCGTTCATCTCTTGTTTTCCCAGAGTTTCCCAGGGTGCATCTGAAGGCCTATCGGGTTTCTGTGCCCCGACGGTCCCTGCTGGGACCCCGCTTCCTGGAACTGTGTGTTCAGTCGTGTTCTCCGGAGGTACGCGCCGCTCGGCAGAAAGCAGTTACAGTCCTTCCTGGTGGAGTCCTCCTCGCGTGTTTTATGGGGAAAAGGCAAACTCAGCTAATTTTTCCCTGGGGACCGCATGCCTGATAGCCCCGGCTACCGTGACACCCAAAAAATGCAATCACATGATCAACACAAAGACACTCACCGTAAAACAAGGCAAGCCCTTATTTTACAGTCATGTGGAAGTTAGCTTTATGCATGTATGCTTTTACACATAAAGGTATGCTTTAATAGATGCAGAAAAATCACACCGTAAATAAATGAACTCACAGGCATTTCTAAATGTGCACATTTAGTCATAGGAGGAATAAATGAGGCGGCCATCTTAGAAATACGATGCTGAAACGCTGCAGCACTCAAGCGACACTCAACAAGCTGACGAAACTTTGGTGGCAGACTAAACAGTACCTGTTTCCTAGCAGGTGAAGGTACCTTTCTAAGGCTGCCCATGGAAGCTAAGCCAGTGTCTGTGATCCTGCATTGCCAATGAGGAAATTCAGTCCATATAATTCAGACACTTTATTCAAACACATGCTAAAGAGGTGTAGAGGAGCCCTCTCTCCACAGCCCACTTCTCCACTGTGTCTGTTCTCACCTCTGCCCCTTTTCTTCTCCCTCTCTCTCTCCCTCCTCATCTATATCTCCTTCTCTCTTTCCTTCTCCCTCTGTCTGTTCCTCTCCCCCTCTCTCTCCCTCTTCAGCTTTCTTACCTTCTCTCTCTCTCTCTCTATCCTTCCCTATCTCTGTATTCCTCCCTCTCCCCCTCAGAGCCCTAACCCCAGAGGTTCAGCAGTGAACGGGTCATGCCAGGGGAATGCATTCTTGCATTCTCGCTTTCTTGTTGTTGCGACAGCATGAGACGAGTTTCACTCCAGCATTTGGGGGAGGCAACCACAGCACAAAGGTGTCAGATGGGGGAGGGGTGTGTGTGTGCGCGTGTGTGTGAGTGTGTATGTATGTGTGTGAGTGAGTGTGTGTGCGTGTGCGTGTGCGTGTGCGTGTGTGTGAGCAGGTGGGTGCGTTCAGGTATTTTTTTAATTTAGTTTAATTTCAGCAGGTCCTCTTTTTTCCTCAGATGTTCACATCACCGCAACCCAACCTCCGCCCCCCCCCACCACTGCCCCCCCCCCCCCCCCCCGACATCTGCTTGCTCTTCCTCTGATTAAAAAAATCCTGGCGGTTTCATTACAGCAGATTTGCATAGTAATAGCGTGCATATTAAGCGGCTGCAGCAGAGGGTGGGTGGGCTAACGAACGCCGCGGTCTCCTCTGTTTTAACTCAATTTCGCCTCATCCATATTCACACCACCCTGAGGGATGGCAATTCTGTTTCCGTGCTCAAATTATCCCGAGCTGGGCCCAGGTCCCGCCACCCTCCCATTAATCCAATTAATTAGCGCCATTGATTCGTGCACTGGGCTCTGGCCGCCGCGCAGCTGGTTTCCACGGCGATAGCAGGGTGGGCGCCGGGGGTCACCTGAGGTCCAAAGCGAGGGGACTCTGGGACCCCCAAAGGCTCCTGAACGCAGGACTGAAGAGGACGTGCACCCCAATCCAGAGCAACAAAGAAAAGAGGTGGCACCAAAAAAAAAGAGTTAAAGTATTAAGATACATTTAGAAAGAACAAAACAGCTGAAAGTGAAAAGTCACTCCAGTGGCACTTTCCCATGCCTGCACCTTTGGATTCTGATTTTCTTTCTAACTCATGTCAAAAACAATTAATAGGTTCCCTACCTAATGTGACACACCTGTACAGGAAAAATATCGCTCCAGTAGCATTCTCCCAACACCTGTACCTGCTCCTTGAGACATTCTCTCCACACCTGTGCGAATCACGGTCCCCTCCAGGTGATCTCATGAGGCTCCTGAAGTGTTGTGTGACACTGTGAGTTATTGGAGTAAAGTTTAATGTTTGTTACTGTTTGCTCTGCTAAACGGAGTTCAGTTTTAAAAATGAACTCCTTCAAAATAAAAATGTGATTTATCAACTTTGTGTGCGTTTCCTTGCACCATTATAATAATGGTTCATGTCCTTCGTTGGAAACAAACATTCGATCTCCTATGATTAAAATAATAAATATAGAAACTGAGTGTTACGGCAGAATCAGTGGATCTGACCTTAAAAGACACTTTCCCTTTAATGCTGGTCCTGACGCATTTCAGTCAGGCACATCTTTAGACACCTAACACTCATATGGCCACAGAGAGGTGGGTGTGGCTCAATTATGCTAGCCCCCCCCCCCCCCCCCCCCCCCCTTATTTTACCTGAAGAATCAGAATCAGTTTTATTGGCCAAGTATGCTTGTAAATACAAGGAATTTGCTCTCGGTTCACAGTGCGGACAGTCACAGTTAAGTACGTAGACAGTTTAGTGCAAGGAATTAAATAGCCACAACACTGTGCTTACAAAGAAATAGCAGAAATAATTAGCATCAATTTGCATAATTTACAACTAACACAGCTTACCAGTGAACCCCACTGAGATTAACATCTTTGAAGATGAACTTGACATCTACTGTGCAAGCAGTAACACACAATTTGTAAGAGTGCTGGTGTCTTCTGGGAAAACAAAATGGCTGCCATGAGGGAGCACATGGCCAAGATGGCAGTGTGTGGACTGTTTTTGGCTTGTTAGCAAAAGACTGATGAATTACCTGACCACATGGCACTCTCAACAGTTTAACACTGAAGCTTGTATGTACGCATTTATTATAATAACTGGAAAAGTGGTGATGCACAGATCTGTTGGCTGATGATGCCGAACAGCAGGTTTCCCCTGAAGACTCAGCCAGGTAAGCCTACCCAGCCATTGCCCTTTTCTGCTCAGCATTACTGGGTTTGGAGTCAGTACACCTTAAAAATGTTCTGAATTACACGTGTTCGTTCCATTGCATTATTTTAAAACAAGGGTCAAAAACCTGAAGTTAAATGGGGAATGTCAAGTGTGTGTGTGATTGTTCAGTTACCAGTTTTACTTGAGTTTCTCCAAATTTTCGGTTTAATTTTAGATTTGATTTGACTGAATAAGTGAACATTGCCTCACTCAGTAAATTATACACTCAGAACCTTTTGCTGCAAACAGAAATTCACTTAAAAGCATTGAGCTGAATTTCAAATTCAAAAAAACACGGAAAGGGAAGGAGGCGGGGAAGAGAAAGTGGAGCTGAGTCTTTGACGATCTTTAAGGCTCCTTGTCTATTACACGGCTGGCGTGCCACTAAACTCCAGTCATTCTGGGGGAGTCATGGGGGGTTTATACCTACATATGAGTGAACGATAATGC